TTATATCTATAAATTTTAATTCCCTTCCCGCAGAACATCTTTTTTGATATGAGATGATATACCTTATTATCATTCCTTATGTAGAAATAATTTTGTACACATTATTTATTTTATTCATAATCAAAGAATTAAGATGAAAAGTATTTTTTGAAGCACTATTATAAATGAAAAATCTCCTGAGCTGCTGTTTTTGGCAAGTTACCATCCTCCTTCCATACCGATCCATACTTTGCTCTGACAATGTTGACGTGACCAAGATCATTTTCCTTCACAATAAAATTTCTGTTAGATAGATGCGTGTAACTGGCAACAACATTTTCTTTAAAACCTTCCTCTTTATTCCTAGGAAACACGCTAACAGTAACAGGACCGTGTACTGTTGGGATGGTGGAGTAATCTTTGGTGGGGATAACTTGTGTCGTCTCTCTGCCGTCATTATCAAACAACACAATTTTGATGATGTCATCAGTATCGTTAGCAATGGTGGTATTGTGTTGACCACATACTTGGCCCATACTGAAACGATTTGAAGAAAGAGATTACAGTAGGATATCAATGTTTTATTTCATGTTTTACAGTATTTTCTGTTTGTAGATAATCTTTCTTTTCAAACGCCAAATATGACTCATTTGTTTTCATACAAACATTCACATTCATAGATATCTTCATGCAATGATAATTATTTGTTGCAAAACAACATATGCATTAGTAATCGACAAGCGTATTCTATTTAAAAGAAATTATCTTGTTAAAAATTATTGAAGCAAAACGTAGATACTGTAGAAGCACAAATTTCCGTGGGCATTTAATTTCGTTGTTTTAAAAGTAATCCTATTCAATATATAGTCATATAAAATTTCGTGTGGGAATTAATTTCGTTGAGTGTTCTTTTAATTTAATTTAATTTAAAATTTAATCCCCCATGAGTATTTGGGCTTTTACAGTATCTTCTAAATCATCCAATGTAACAAACCGAATTTTAAATAATCTAATTATGATAGTGCAAACATTATAAAAAAAGGCCCGGAAAAGTAAGTCGGATTGACTCATACATGCATAAAATAAAGAAGCAAAATTACAAATGGCTCAATGATAATTACAATACTACGAAAAAATATATCATCTCATCTTGTTTTACAGTATGTGGAATATAAGCCCCTAAAATTAAAAATTACCTTTTGAAAGGATTGTTCGATTTTCCTCAGCTACCTTCTTTATTAGGAAAGTATTAGTTTGTTTGCTAGTTAATATGAAATTATAAGTTTACCTTGTACTTTAACGTTGAAGTATCAGTGCGGAAGTGAACTTTTTTTGGAGACTTCCTCGTTTGAGCTGATTACATAGTTTTAAAAGTGAGCATATCAAACTATAAGATTTGACCCACATTTGGATTCAGTACTGAAATAAGTCTTCATGTTTCCCGAACATTCATGCAATGAATTGTTTATTATACCGAAACAAGCAAAACCTTTGAAATAAACATAAACTTTTCAATTCGGCACCTCTCTCAAATTCATTTTCATTTTTTACATAAAGTTACTAATAAAACCCTTTGCTCAACACATTATCATCAGTTTTGTGACGTAAACCAGGCAATTGCGACGTCTACTTCTCTAGGGAGTTTTCGTTCAACGAACAGGAACTATATTGCGGGAAAATACACTAGGAATTCCGAAGAGGTTGAATATGATGAAAAGCGTACCGACGGCCGGGAAATATGAAATTTTTACCACCCGATCACGTGATAACTTAGAACCAATCAGATAACGCGTTGTTTAGAATATCTATAATGAGGTATAATAATATATAAACTCCGTATTACCATTAACATTTTTTAAAACTAAAATATCGAAATATGTAACAGATATGTCAGACTCTGTCGTACCTTTTATCTCAAGCTCATAAGAATATATCATATCGACATGAACGTCTACATCCCGACTATATTTTAACCGGTTACTATTGATCTTACAAAGTACTCGGTTAACCGAATATAAATTAGCATCTCAAATAATAGTACATATTCTGATATATACGAGGGTTGTCCAGTAAAAACGTGGACAAGTTGTCTAGATTAAAACCTAATCAACTCTGCGTTACGAAATGTTTACTATAATGTAGTATATATTTTTTTCTAAATTTATAGCAAATTTGAAATAGATATGTGGTCAAATAAAAAAAAATATGACATTTAATGTCATAGATGGTATTGCCTTACGGCGCACGGATAATAACGTCCTCGTATTTGTTCGCACGTCACGAACTTTCTACACCTTCTCAAAATAATCTACCCCGTTGTCAATGCATTTCTGTTGCCTGCACATCCATTTGTTAAAAGCATCTTTAAATCACTGACAATTTAAGGTCTTGTTGTATGTTCTTATTTCATTCTTTATTTCATCGCGACTCTCAAAACGATGACCTCCTTAGTAGTCTTTTAACTTTGGGAAGTATGCGAAATCCAATGGGGCCAGATCTGGTGTGTACGGAGGATTCTCTATTCTTTGAAACCTTAACATGTCCAGCTCAAATTCTGTGCGTTCCGACCGATGACTTGGGGCATTATCTTGGTGAAATACATGTTTTCAAGATTCTCTGCAAGATGTGGGCGCTTCTTGCATACAGCTTGCAACAAATCCTGGCGAACTACCTGAAAATTGAAAAAAAATCATTTAAGCATTTTAAAAGAACAAATAATTAATTTGATTTTTAAATTATTAGTGCCAAGATACTATACAATTATTGCTGATTTTTCGGTCAATACAATGATTTAGCCAGCTGAGGAGTACAATACTCACCGAGCCCGAAAGGCGAGGTGAATATTGTACTTCGAAGATGTCTAAATCATTGTATTGACCGAAAAAAACAGTAATAATTGTTTTATTATATGATTCACTGATAAAAGGATAAAGCCCATTGCTTGTTTGCATTTAATAAAGTCTTAGCCGAATACAAAAGAGAAGCAGAATTAAAATGTAAATAAGACTTACAAGTCGTATCAATTTGAAGGTTTTTTTTTTATCATTTGTAGTTATCATGAAAAAATATGTAAGTATTTTTATAGGATATATTTTGAAAGGAAGGAGTATTATCAGGGAAAACTGACAGCCAAAAAGTAAAAATTGTTGTTAAGTAAAAGTGTTGAAGGGGTGTCCCTGCATCCCCTCTTACCGCTCTCACCCAAAAATAAATATTCCGCTATGTTTTGTTCGCACGTAAAAAAGTCATAGTCGTTTAAATAGCTTTCCTAAACAATTTGTATCAAGTTGGAATTTCCCGATCTATTTTTAGATCAATGTAGTGGAAATACATCCTTGTATTCACCTGGAATGTCACGTGCAGGTCAAAACAACGTAATATTTTTCTAACATAGTTGGATCTCAGCCAATAAGAGAGATGGAAATTATTCAATCATATAATAATTAGGTATACATAACGGAATGAGGTAGTTATGATTTATTATAATATATATACAAATGTTTTATTTTAATCATTATGATTAAATAGGCCCTTATGAAATTTTAAATTTTTAATTTTTTTTTACATGTACCAAATATACACATACCTTGCAGTAGTAATTTGTATTCAACGTACAGCCATTTTTCACCATATGAACCAAAATAACACCTGATATATCCATAAAGACCATGCACATCACTTTTCCCATAGTCTTGACAACTTTCGCTTTCGGGGGACTGTCCTGATTCTTCCAGACCATGGATATTCGCTTAGTTTCAGGTTCATAATAATGGACCCATGTATCATCTGTTGTGATTAATCTGCTAAGAAAAGTTGGATCGGTCCTACAAAGGTCCAGGAATTGGACTGATGTTCGAACACGAGTTGCTAACTGATCCTGAGTAAGCAAGCGAGGGACCCATCTCGCACATACGTAGGACATACTCAAGTTCTGTGTTAATATTCTATGGACGGTGCTCTTACACCAACTAAACATCCAACTAAACTTACTCTCCCGAACTGTTCTTTGACGGTCAGTGTTGATGGTATTTTTTACAGCATCCAGTAGTTGTTTGTCTATATGTTTCGGTCTCCAACGGGACTCAGTACCTGAAATTCCACTCAAAAATCGCCCATGCCACTTGTAAACTAAAGATCTTGAGACGTTCATATATTTCTTCAGTCGTCTTAAATTGTTTTAAAGTATGTACAGGCGTCATTCCTAAATCTACACAAAATTGAATAGCATTCCGGTGCGCCGTAGCGTCCACTATTGCATTTCAAATGCTCGGGAAACTGTTTAAAATGACGCAATCAACATGAAACTTTTAAAATGACGTCATAATAGACTAGGAATTGAAATAAGATAATTTTTGTCACAATTAGATTCGATTAATAATTTTTAATTTGAAATATTGCGTTAAACATTCTCGGGGGAAATTCTCAGTTTTTAGTGGTGCGCCGTAGGACCATGCCTTGCGCATATTAAGGCATAATAAAATGCTTATTCTTGTTTATTTTGTACCAAAAAGTACATTATACTCATATATGATAATTAAACATTTGCTGAAATGATATCACATCAATTAAGAGCGAGGTATTATGTAATTTGCTGAAAATTTCAGCCCAGTGCGTCCATTGTTTTCCGAGAAAAACGCTTTGTCCATTATTTTACGAGACAACCCTCGAACATATAGCAAAATAAAAAAAGACAGATTAATTAATTCTCTCTCACAAATTTCATCGGACAAAATTACACTCGGTTCAACTTAAAAATAATTTTCAGACACAATGCTCATATACATGCTTTGGCATCATACGAGTACATGAAGATTAAATAAAAAAAACAATTACTTTTTTTCATTTTCATGAAGTTAAGTACAAAGGAGAGCGTCATTACGCTGTGCACTGCTAGAAATTGGTTCTGTAATACTAGTATTCTGATTTCTTTTGGCTCTGTTATTATTTCATCGAAAATAGAAAATGAAAATATTTTAACATTTAAATACACAATGAATCACTGTATTTTTTGTAAAGAAAAATTAAAGCGGATTATTTATTGTATTGCGTTCAGAAAAAGATATTTTTTTAATAACAAAATAATTTTTTGAAAATGATTAATAATGCAAGTTAAAATAATATTAGAAACACTTGTCTTATTTGCGTAATGAAAAATAAGTTCTATCATATTTTCTAGGTGTCATCTTCAATCCAAATGTATCCATACTTTGCTTTACTAATTGTCACATTACCACCACGGTGGCCCTTTACTATAAAACTTTGATCAGATCTATCCGTACAACTGGCAGCAGCATTTTCGTCGAAGCCCCCCATTTCCGTCTGGACAAAGACACTGAGGGTGACGGAACCATGCACTGTAGGGATAACGATATAGTCTCCACCACGGATTTCTTGTGTTGTCTTTCTGCCCTCGTTATCAGACAAAACAATTCTAATGAAATAATCACAAGCGTTGGCAATATGGGTATTGTGTTGTTGACAACTTGAACATAACTGGCCCATTCTGAAAAGATTTAATAAACAAACCTTATCAATAGAACAGGTAGGGATTTTTTTAAATTTTTTCATTTGCCACTGTAGGTTTTCTTGTTATTATTGAATCTTTATCATCCCTCAAAGCATGAAAACAATATGACTTGAATGTCGACGAATCGAATTTATAATACATACCTTACACTGAATAGTTATCACCAATCTTTGTCCCTCCAGTTGACAAGGTCTAAAAAAATAAAAAGCTCTTTCACCAGTTTATAATTCATCTTTGTAGATAAAAACCCACTATGTTCTGATTCGACTAAAAAAAATCTTATACTTCTGTTGATATGTAATCTTTTCCGGTTAATAAAACAGGAAATGCTTAGCATCTCTTTTCATCTGTACAAAATGAAAAAGGGGATATTTGACTTCTTAAAAGTGAGGATAGAACACATGAATTTTTTTTTTTTTGCAGTTGTTACCAAAAAAAAAAAAGAAAATTAAAAAAAAAATTAAGATTGAAAGTAAAGCTTACTCTAAAAGTACATTAGTACATTACGTACATGTAAGCTCTAGGTACTGGTCAGGTAGACGGGAAAATTCGCAGTCTAATTCATTTTATGTTAAAACTTTACTGGTAGACCAAGGCAACATAGCAGCTCAGTTTGTTTCCAAAATTCATAGCAGAAGACATGTTAAGTGTAAAAATCTTGTCATTTATTTACATGACGAAAAACGAAATCCATTTATAAAAACAATTACCAAAGAATTTGGCTGGGAGACATAACAGAATCATGTAAAGCTTGACCAGAAATGCAATTCAATAAATGATTACAAAACAGTGGTTTCCCAGCCACAATATTGTTACAAAATACAGATGTGATAATGCGGTGAAATACAACATCAAACTTTATTGAAAACAAAAGTGGTGCAACCCAACGGGTTGAAGCACCACTCAAGATGTTGCCTTGGTAAAACCTCACGTATGATATAAAATGTTAAATTGTTTTAAAAAAATCTTTGGTATTTAAAGCTAATGAACATCATGCACAGACGAACATACATGTATTATTTACTCAAAACGCTCGTGGGCAAAATTCGATCTGTAAGAAAAAATGAAGGATTTCAATGTACCTAACATATAAGAGTCTTTTTGCTTGTAAACACTATTAGTTTTACTCATACACTGAACCAAACTTCTAAGTGTTCACCTAACATTTTTGAACATTTAAAGAGCAAATGCAAACAATAAATAATTTCTTTCATTCTTGGTTAATGATGCATATTTGAGTTTGATGTTGCGTAAATTTCATGTAAGTATCTCTTCAGAATGTTAAGCAAAGTGTCAAGGAAATGATGAACCCTCAAAATGAAAATTCACACAAAAAAATCTCGATGGAGTAAGACTCACTACTTGCTCTAATTACTACAAGTCAGTCTTTATTGTTGGATACCATGTACCCCTGAATAGGAGATTGACCCATCTGCTGCCCCATCTACATGTACTGCATAGATCTTTTCAAACAATTGAAATTGTGAGTAAAGGGGGGGGGGTGTTGACATTTCTATTAAAATCCCAAATTTGTTCAAAGAGATTCACTTCCGGGAATTTGAAAGTGGATCGTCACACAAATGCCTTTTGGTCAATATCCTTGGCTGTTAAGCATATACGTGCGCCGCTTTAAGGATAATTCAGAGTGCTTGAGCTGATAAAAGACTGTCACGAGCACTTTCTTATCATTTTCGTACGATTGAAATAGTTTGTTTCAATGTTTCTAAGATTTTTTCAGAACACTTTAACACTCTTTTAACCTGATCCCAGAATCATGAAACTAACTTAGACTTAAGTCAAATTTTCTATCACTTATAAAATACTCATTAATTGAGGAATTTAATTAGAAATTTGCAGATAACAACTCTTTTGAGAAGCAATATTGAAAAATATTTCAATTTTGGTCTTCTTGACCTTAACAACATTTTATAATAAAATAAAGATTTTGACTTAAGCTTAAGAAGTTTCATGATCCCGGGGCCTGATGTGACGCGAAATTTTCTCCTCAGAAGAAGATCAAAGTCACTTCCGATGTGGTTTAATTTTGTCAAAAACTTTCAAATTGTGATAAATTGGTGATGAAAAATGAGCACAGCCTATAGAAAAATGTGTTTAAATGGGTTTTGATACTGTTTCATAATTTTTTTAAAGTAAGAACAAGTACAATTAAGCACGAAAATGAAAGTAGTAAAACGTGGTGCAAAGATAACCCAGATATCAACATTCCGAAGGCTCTCCCTTCTATCTCAATGGTTATTTTGCCAATGTTTTGTGTTTTTTAGTGAAACAATTTGATAATGATGACAAAAGATGCTTATTACACAAAACACGTGCATCAAAGTACAGATTTATTGTTTTTAAGCTTCGTCACGGAACATTGGTTTTCATCGATGATATTGAATTTTCTCTCTACAATTGTTGAGAAGACTCATTTGTTGTAATAGTGTGAAAATATCATATCATTCTATAAAGTAGTTTTTAAATAAATACATTTATTAAAGTGAACACTTAGAAGTTTTGTTAAGTGTATATCATGGCCTTACATAAGAAGGCCAATACAAAATTCTGAACAGGAAGAAACAAGTGATGGCAATCAGCAACTAAATTATAAATGATGGTGAAACTTGCCCTAATGTATATAAAATTAAATAAACAATTCTGAAAGATAACAGGGCATACAAATTGTGAATCATTTAAAACTAACCTTGATACATTTACATAATTGAGAGTCCAAGGAAAGGAGTCCAGCTGAAAATCAAGGGAATCTATAAAATTAGATGGAAACAGGCTGACAACTTCTATGCCTACTAAGATTTAAGATGAAAAATATGTACAAAGAATGCAAAATTTGAATGCATTGCAAATACATCAAATTTTTGGGACATAGACAACCAATTCTGACCCAAATTAGAAATATACAGTGTAACCTTCCCACATTATTTGACAGACTACACCCCAAATAATACAACACTCCTCAAATAATACAACACTGCTGTAAACCAGGCTAGCTTAGTGGGATCAGCTGGCATTTCTTTAATAACAAATTATGTAACCAACAGGCATACATTAATGTGTATGTGATCAATGAAGTGATATAATTTTTGTTAACTATATATGTTATATGCTATGCAATATATCCCTATCAAAGACATTAAAAACCTCCCAGGAAAAAACCATATATATGAGTAACTATGGAAAACCTGTGTCCGTTGCTATGTAAATAATGTCTCAAGGGAGAATGCCGGACGTGCATTCAGTGCAGTGCTTGGTATGAATAACACATAGATGTACATGTACAATAAAACAAAATCAAAAATTACAATATTGTCGTTTATATCATATATTACAATATTATTGTTTATATTACATATGTAAACATATTCATTCAAATATAGATATAAACAAAACACGAGCGTGTTCTGCGGAGCACTGGCTTAGAATGCTCCAACACCTCACAAATTACTCTTTCTCATTGACCTTCCTTTGGCCATGCCTACCATAAACAGGTATTTCCAAAAAATATGTTTCTATCATACAATGTTTTCCCGCTATTCTACCACATGCAGGAAAGTTCTAATATGGAAATGGTAACAGGCAGACAAATTCTGACCCTGTTAGAGAATATACAATACAGAAATGGTAGCAGGCACACAAATTCTGATCCTGTTAGAATATATACAATACAGAAATGGTAACAGGCATACAGATTCTGACCCTGTTAGAGAATATAAAATACAGAAATTGTAACAGGCAGACAAATTCTGACCCTGTAAGAGTAGATACAATACCGAAATGGTAACGGGCAGACAAATTCTGACCCTGTTAGAAAATATACAATACAGAAATAGTAACAGGCATACAGATTCTGACCCTGTTAGAAAATATACAATACAGAAATAGTAACAGACATACAGATTCTGACCCTGTTAGAAAATATACAATACAGAAATGGTAACAGGCAGACAAATTCTGACCCTGTTTAAAATATACGAAACAGAAATGATAACAGGCAGACAAAATTTTGAACCTGATAAAGTGAAGTCATTTAACTCTGGTTAGACAATAAATGTAAAATTTGGGATGGTGAGTCAGCAGCAGCTTTGAGAGTCTGTAAACTGGCATTTTGTAGTCTTGCTGGAACCATAAAGAATTACACAATTTCGGGTAGGGGTTGTTGCCAAGACAAAGGAGCAGACTGATGCAATTTTCAAAATTCTTTGTCACCTCCAAATAAAGTGTTAAGGACTGACGGAATATTTAAGTTGTCTGCAGGATTAGCTGCTGCATGTGTTTGTGAGGCTGAATCGCTGTTTGAATTATGGATGTCGGCAGATAGCTGGACTTGCCTGTGCTGGTGACTTTCTCCATTTAGGCAGCATTTTCTGAAAAGAGAGGAACACAGCCAACTCGCAGTGTGTAGTGGTAAGCAACCATTTTCTTTATAAGCAAAAAGTAAGCACATATTCCCAATATAAGCAGAATGTAGTTATTAAATAACATACTAATGCGAGCACAAACTCGCAAAGATGTAATGGCAAAGCAAGCACAAACGTACATGAATTGAGCACAAACATAACAATAACAATAACATAACAATAACAATAATAAAATCTGCCATACCAATACAAGCACAAATTCCCAAAGATGTAATGGAAAAGCAAGGGCATACTTACATGAATTGAGCACAAACATAACAATAAATTCTGCCATACCAATACAAGCACAAACTCGCAAAGATGTAATGATAAAGCATGCACATACATGAATTGAGCACAAACTCAATAATGGAATCTGCCATACCAATGCGAGCACAAACTCGCAAAGATGAAATGGCAAAGCAAGCACAAACTTGCATAAATTGAGCACAAACTCAAAATAGATTCTGCCATACTAATGCGAGCACAAACTCGCAAAAATGTAATGGCAAAGCCAGCACAAACTTGCATGAATCGAGCACAAACTCAACAATATATTCTGCCATATTAATGCGAGCACAATCTCGCTATGAATATCATGGCAAACTAAGCAAGCACAAACTTGCATGAATTGAGCACAAACTCAACAATAGATTCTGCCATATTAATGCGAGCACAAACTCACTATGAATATCATGGAAAAGCAAGCACAAACTTGCATGAATTGAGCACAAACTCAACAATAGATTCTGCCATACTTATGCGAGCACAAACTCGCTAAGATGTAATAGCAAAGCAAGCACAAACTTGCACGAATTGAGCACAAACTCAACAAAAATTTTATTCAAATGAATTCATATCACACATAGTAG